CCCCCCCCCCCCCCCCGCGCGCGCTCCCTTCTGTTTGTGCTTGTTCAGATGAAGAACCTCGAGGGAGAACGGCGCACGACCCTTCGTGAGTTCATGCTTTCCGCTAACCGTGCGATCGGTGACAACTGGAAGACGCTGTGCACGCTGCCCGGTCCGGCTAGCGACGCCGCTACGGCGGTGGATGCCAACAGGGGCGCCGTTGATCAGGAGGTCCACTCCCTGGCGGCCGTGCGGATGGAAGAGAAGGTATTAGTGTTGTCGTCTACGTGAACCTCAATGATTGGTCTATTCGCTTGCCGCGTTTTTGGTGGAAAGTGTTTTGTCTCGTGGATTGTTCAGCAAAGGCAACACTCAATTCTTTTATGGAGACATTGAATGGGTGCTGTTACAAACATGCGTATAATGTTCCTCCAACTTGTCTCTCTTTCACTCTCTTGGCGGGATAGCGTGATGGAGTCTATGCTCAAGGCCGTACGTCCCGTTGGACATGGCGTTTGTTTCGCCTTGTTGGTTTGCTTAGTAGCATGTCTGTCAGCAATTCCCCGCTTCATAGCATGCCTGTACATCTTGCTTCCTTTTTTCTTCCATCGCTCCCGTGTCCTATCGCTCTACCCCCGTTGTCCCTTGTAGTAGCCTTCATCCTCAGCACGTCTGGCAGCTACAATTGTAGCTCCCGCTTGACACTTTTTTCTGTACGCGCTTCCTTTTTTCGTCTCACTCTGCCCACGTTGTCCTATTCCTGGTACGCCTTGGGACCGCCGTTCATTCGTTGCGCCTTCGGCGTTGCGCAGAAGCACGAAACTTCTAAGGAACACGTCCTGGCGAACACAACCCACATCGTCCGCGCAGACCCGGCTCCCGCTGACGACTCCTTCATCGAGACTCTGTCGGTGAGGTAGATTTGCCAATCAGCCTGTCTTGCGGTCAGTTGGGTGTAGTCGGACGACTCGCTGCGGTTTCTCATTATGGCGTTTTTTGTTACGTCTTTGTTGAAGTTTTTTTTTTTGTGTATTCCGAAGGGATGACGCTGCCGGGTTGTGTGAGGGTGTAAGCCGCCCCTTTTTCTCCCGCTTGCATGTATGTATGTTTTCGTCCTTGTTGTTATGGCGACAGTCCTCCCATGTTTCGTGGTGAGACATGGGCAGCTGGATATATTGTTGATCGACGAGACCACTTTCTAATTTTCCATTTTTTAGTGTAGAACACTGCATTCAGTGTGTTTTTCGTACAACTACAACCATCCATGGCCACACTTGGGGGTAATACAATGTATGCTCCTGCGTGTTTTGTGTAACGAGGTTTACCTCTCGCCGAGTGTAGAGAGCGTCCCGCTCTGCATGCACGATTCCTCTCTCTCGACGTCGGCGGGACGTGGCACGAAATTGACCACGCTGCTCGTTCCTCTGGTTGGTCGAACGTTAGGCGCCTCTGGAGTCGCCCCTGGTGCGGAAAATGATGATGATCGAAAGGAGAGAAGGGAAGGCGATCGGCAGCAAGTACTACGCCGGGTAAGTGGAGATTCAGCAAGCCATTGGCTCGCGCTGACATCTAGTTTTGTCTTTCTATGCTCACCACCGCACGTGTAATGGGCTCGGTAGGAAAACCGGAGTACCATGGTATATTTTTTGTTGGTGGTGAAAGTTCGTGAATGGACACTATTGGTGAGCGGTTGGGCCGACGCGCATCACCAGGCCGTGGGTGTGACGGTCCCTTGATCACCAACACCGACCCGCAGTTTATCTTTTCTGCTCTCAGCAGGCTAGTTCTGAAGCCTTGGCTTCAGTCTCATCGTTCGATATCCGTGGGTGGAACTTTCAGTCGCATCCCCCCACCCCTGGCCCGACCCGGTCTCAATTGCTGATCTCCGGCTACAGAGCAAATCTCGTGGCCCCTCAAGTATGGTTCGGTGGGGAATCACAAACCATGACCCCTCCCCGAATTTGAGCAGCTAGCACCTCCTGTGGCCGACACAACTCGGCCTAGACTGTTCCTTTGTCTGTTTCGCCATGGGAACGGCCGGTTGAACAGCGAAAGAGGGTCCTGCCTGGTGCGCGCCACAACCTTTGTTGCTTTTCGTTTGTGATTTCTCCCCGAGTGACCGTTGTACACACATACATGCGGCTGCTGCTGCACACATGGGGTTGCTGCAGTAGCTCGGAATGTGCTGCAAAAGTCGTAAGGTTATCGTCTCCGTCGTTTTGGGCTGCACGCGTTGCTGGCGTAGGCGATGCGTGTCTCTTACTTTTTTCCCGGAGTGAGTGTCGTTAAATTATCCATGAAGAGCAACGGCAGCACAGTTGAAGACACAAACAACAGCAGACGGTCCGCCTTCGTTTTTTTTTTTTCCGGCATGCATGGGTGGTATGCATCGGTAAGCAAACTTGTTGCCGCCTTACCTTGAGTCTGTTACGTGGTCGTAATTTTAGCGATAAGTAAGGTGTGATAGCCAGCAGTCTGCTCGTTCGTGCAGCGGTGCGCATCTATCGCGGACGTCAAGCGTATTGAGGTAATAGTTCGTCCGTGGTGCTACATGTAGTCGTGTTCTTTTTACAGTAGGTCTCACTTGCCACCACAAAAGATAGTCCACAGTTCACAAACAGCGACTATATTTTTTTGTTGTGTTTTGTTGTTGCTGAGCCACATTGGATATCGCCGTTCGATACACGTAATGTCTGACAGCCTGCGGTGGGCCACAGAGACGAGAGTGAGTGTCTTCTCGAGAGTCAATGCCTTGCCTTCTCTCCGCTCTCTTGTTTTTTTTAGTCTACCTCTCCCTCGCTATCGCCTTTCGCCGGTGGGGTCCCAACAACATCGAACGTCAACCGCAGTCGTTTTGCTTGTTGCTGAGTAAGAGGCATCCGGCTGCTGCGTGTGAGGCGATCGGCGCTGCCACTTTATGTCACGCGATGGACTTGGGCCCAACCTAGTGTTTGCTGCATATGCGGTGCTTTGTGAGAGTTTCCAGCGGTCCAGAGCGAGCAGCGACGGTGGTTTTTCTGTGCGCTCTATTGCCTCCTCCCTGAAGCCTGTTGCGTTTGGCTCTTTTGTTCTTGCTTCTTTGTTTTTTTTTAATTTTTCATGCTTTGTTTTTTGGGGTCCCATGGTTCCTGTGTCTTGTGTGTGCTCATCGGGCGTCTTCGTGGTGTATGCCTTGATTGTTACCCGCTGAATCGAGAGCTTCAGACAGGCAACGCAACGATACTCGTCGAGTTGCCATGCACAGAACTATTTTCTTGCCTTCTCTACGCTGGTTAAGCGAGCGAGCGACCGCCTCGGTTTCTACCGCAAGTCGGCGTGCCGTTGCAACGCAAGCTGATGGCTCGTTTCGTGCGACCATGCCGGAATCCGTGCGTCAAAGTGCCCCCTCCGTATGTTTTGTGTTTCGCTCTCGTCGGCCTCCGATGCGTTCTTTGTCAGCGTTCATCGGTGGGGCGTAGCTCAGGTTTAGTTTCACCTTCGTGTGTGATGCGTATGTTGTACTTGATGGCATCGATCTATTCAACGATTTTTTCCGAGCATTTTTTTGATTGGGCGACTCTTCTCACACTTGTGTGTCCATGTTCCGTGATGCTTTGGACACGGGCAGACTGATGGTGCTGTCGTGGGATGGCTTCCTCCACTTCTTCGACATCCCTTCCTCCTCTACCGTCAAGAGAGATGCCTCTGCTTCCGCAGCTTTCCAGGAAATTTCCCCCTCCATCTCGGTGAGATATTTCATTGTGGATTCCAGTGTGTTTACTGATGAGGGCTTTTGTTGTGCTGGATCTACACATGCAAATGGCTCGTTCTTTTCAGCAGGCCCGAGGCCGTTGTAGAAATGTCGCTGAGAGTGACCGGCAGACATCAAATGACTGCTGTTGATGGGTATCCCGCTTCGACGGCGGCGCTTGCCAATAGTTCATTTGTCGTCTTCCTGACACTGCTTAGGTTCGTGACAGAGGCAGTCCCGATAACTCGGCGACGTGCCGTGGCGAGAGAGCGCCCCTGGCAGATACATGCGCCCCCCCCCCGCCCCCCCCTAGTTTCAAGCACCCACAGAGATTCACCCGAACGAACCCTCCCACGTCCATTCGCTGCCCCCCGATTCCCTTGCCTTCGAGATATCCACAAACCGAGCTTTGTCCTTCTTGCCCTTGACTTGTCGTCGTTGCCCCTTGCTCTCCGCGCTGTCCTTGACGTGGACGAACTGCCCATGGTATGAACTTGTTACTATGCCGGCCACGGGGCGAATTGTAGCTGGACGACCTTTTGGCGAACAAGAAGGACCTGGACGAGGTGCTCATGTTCAAGAGCACTCACACGCTCTGGTTCGACGAGTCCTCCACCGTGGAGGCCAAGTCCAGCCACAAGAGCCACAAGATTGAGGTGCGTATGTATGATAGAAAAGAAGCGCAACAAGCTTTTTGCTACCTGCTGCTGCTGTTGTTCTCGTCTTTGCTGATGTGCAACGAAAGACTTACACATTCTCCCTTCGACTGTGTTGTCTCGAACGGGGTAGTTAGTCATGTATCTGGTGGTTGTACGATGAATGTTATTGACAACAAGGTATTGTACTTGCTGCTGCTGCTGCTGCTGCTGCTGCTGCTGCTGCTGCTGCTGCTGCTGCTGTTGTTGTTGGTGTCGTCGTCGTCGTTGCTGATGTGCGAAGACGTTAACACATCCCGTTCGACTGCTGTGGTGTTGTCTCGATCGGGTATTAACAGTCTCTTTCTGTGATTGTATACTTGTGTATATATTTTGTTGAAAAACTCTTGGCTAATTTTTCGACGTTTGGACCACATCTTGGTGGTGAGGAGGCATGTTGACCGACCGGCCGCCACAAGGGGCTTCTTTTCCGGGCCCCTACTGATGGGTCTGGTGGTATAGCTCTCGGTACCTCGGGAAGCGCCTTCATGACATGATGCTTCTTCGTCCCAGAAGTCCCGTTGTCGCGAGAGTTGTGTATCGGTTGATGTGACGTGTGAGTTCGCCGCTTTCCTCGAAAGGACGATTTTTTGTTGTTACTTGTCTCTGTCTCTCTCTCTCTGTCTCTCTCTCTCTGTCTCTCTCTCTCTTGTCTGTCTGTCTGTCTGTCTGTCTGTGTCTCTCTCTCTCTCCCTCTGTCTCTCTCCCCCGTGGGAATAGGAGCTGGGATTTATCGTTCCACCGGCGTGGTGTACTCCTCCTGCCGCGGGCTGTATCTTTTGTGTGTACCGACGAGATCTAACCCGAACGAAGGGTCCTTGCATGGCTTTGTATCACGCTTGCGGCATCGCTGCCGTTATCATCACACAAGGTTGGATGGGTACGACCCTTGTTGTTTGTACACATCACCCTTGGCACGTCGTGACCTGTGCGCCTCATCCTTCTTGAGTTTTTCTTTTTTTTGTCTCTGTCGTGGACTGCCCCAACTGCTGGTGAACGACCCCCACACGGCAGGTGAAGGGCAGGACGAACATCACCTCGATCAAGCGGCACTTCGGGTCCGGGACTACCAGTAAGACGGTCACCTTCCGGACCGCTACAGAGGCGGAGATGAACAACATCGTCGAGGAGATCACGGACTGCATCTACACCAGGGGCGGCATGCAGACCGCCGTGGTAAGCAAGCGATTTTGTGTTCTGCGCTTGGGGGGGTGCTTGCGTTGTTGGTCATGTGTGTCAATGTTGGCGATGCTTTTTTTGGCGTTGATGCGTGTGTGATGATCTCGGGTGGTGTGTATGTGTGTGATTGTCTCGTCTGTGATGATCTCGGTGATGCGTGTATGGTGCTTGAGATGCTGGCGTTTGGTGCGGGTAATATCTCACCTGGTCACCATTTGTGTTGTTGGTGATGCCAGTGATTACTGTGGTGCTTACTCACTTGAGGATGGTGTCCGTGCCGCTTATGACGCCGGTACAGTATTGGGCCTTATTTTGATGTCGACTTTTTTTTTTCGGTGCTTGTGAACTTGGTGTTGTCATTGATGCTTTTGTAGACGCTGGCACTGTCTTTGTGCTAGAACTGTGTCTGTCCAATCGTAGCCCCATGACCTCTAGGAACACCTCTTCACACCTGCGCCTCATGTCTCACTACTTTTTCTTGCTCGTTTATTTGCACCCGTCCAGACTGGACGGATGAGCACGGACAGCCGGTCTAGCTTCGGCAGCAGCTTCAGCTCCACCGGATCTGGTTCCACCAAATTGGCGAGTTCCCCCGCAGTTTTTTTCTGTGTCTTGTCGCCATCTTTGAGTGCAACGGTCGTGACGTACGTGACGGCGGGGCGTCTCCTACCACGTTGCTGTCTTACTTGAATTCACCTCACCATACCATTGACACGTGGCTTACCGTAGGCACGTGGCTCAACCTTACCCGTGTGATGCGGAATATGGAAATATTGCAGGTTGTTGAGTACGTTGAAGGAGTGGTTGCGATATGGCGGGTATTACTTTGATTGTTGTTTGTTGCCAAACGATACCGTTTCTACGTGGCTACGTGGCCGCGTGGAGCAATGCCTGCCTTGATTCGTTGGTAGATGTTTTTGCGCTCCGGCGACTGTGCGCCGGAACCAGGAACAGCCTTTCGAGAGAGGAACCCTTTTCTCCTACTGCCGCTTGGAATATCGCCGGCTCATTTCCAACTCGACCGGGGTTTGGTAGGTAGTCAGGGTCACGCTAGTCTCGCGGGAGGAGATGAAGTTGCTTGCAGTTCCAACGCTACTCCCTTCACCCCGATGTGAGGGCAGCAGTCTCAACGCTGTAACCCGGGCTGCAAGACTGGATGGTACACCGCCTGCCTCTCTTGGGGTTCCCCCCACAATTTGTATTTTTCCATCCACTTGACGCGTTGCACACCCCCCACGAGTACGGGATAACCTTTTCATCGATCACCGCTGCTGCGCCCCCCAACCCTGCCGTTGCTGCTTGCTGCCTGCGTATGTCCTCCTCTATTCAGCCGCCCAAAGAACCGGAACCAGAGCCGGCTGCCCCGGCGCCCACTCCGGCCCCCTCGTCAACGGTAGCGCCTCCCGCCGCCGACCCCGCCGCCGATGACCCTGCCCCTCCCGCCAAGGAGCCCGCCCCCGTCGCAGCCGATGCCCCCACCGCGACGCCCGCCGCGGAACCGACGAAAAGCTCGGCAGCCGTCCCCGAGGCTGCACCGGAGGCTGGGGAGGCGACTTCGGAGGCGGCGGCGGCGGGGCCGGAGGAATCCGTTACGAAGACTGTGTAGTCGCCGAGGAGCTTTGTTACGTCTTGCTTGGATGCGAAGAGCTAGGATTTGTGTGTAGGAAGATATTGTTCTGTTTTGAACATGTCGGTTTTGAGGGCGACGCGATGTTCGGGAAAGCATGCCGTGTGTGGCGCGTGCGCGCAGGAGGGAGCTACGGCTTGATCTCTGGCCCCTGGTGTCGTCAGGACCTTGTTTTTTGTTCCTGGAGCTTGCGTGGCGTGTCGGCTTGGCGCTGTGTGTGTGCAGGTGGTTGTACGAGAGGCACCCGAGGAGCGAGCGTCGTTCTGTATCGCCCTTTCCTGTGAAGCGCGATGTTGCGCGAATATTGTGTAGTTTTCCCCATGCGCTAGCATGCCACGCAGGGCGGGCGTCGATCGCTCGCACGATTTTCTGCCCATGGCCATGTGTTGCAAGCATCCGCAAATTTCGTGCAAAATAACGTTGCACGCAGTATCTCCGAGGCTCTTTGTTCTCGTCGCCTGCCCATCGAAGCATGTGGAAGACTTGCGGTAGGCACATTTCGGGAAACAGCCCCGGCATGCGGGTCGGCACCGGCATCGCCCCTGTTATTGCTCAGCGAGGGGAGGGATGAAGTTCTGATGTTTGGTGTACGTACTGCAGTGCTCTTTCGTAGCAAGGCGAAACGATGGCAAGTCGGGCAGAGTCTCCCGCAGAGCGAGGTAAAGAAGGTCAAGGTGGCACACCTGGTCTTTTGGTTTATACCATCTGGACTCTGTTGCTGCTCGCCTGCTGTTGCGCATGGGGACGCGCTTCCTGTGCTGTTGTTGAGTTGTCATTTTTCAAGGTTATGCGCGGCTTGCTGCCAATGTTGGGCTGTATGGTCGATGTCCAACGTTGTGTGTTGTCCTTCGCAAGGTTGTAGACTGGACACATCCGTTTGCCGGCTTTTTCAGTATTATCTGTTTGCAGGTTTCTCCAGTGTGACACATTCAGTACATAGGGCGTAATCTATCGTGCCAAAGGTGTAAGCGGTAGATCCATTCCGCTTGTGAAGTCTTCCTCCAGTAGGTAACCCTTGCGGTTGCAAAGATAAATAGGTGCTTTGGGCCATCGCGAAGTATTTCCACGTCTTCGAGTTGATTTTGTAGCTATATTTTCGAAGACTGATAACAGAAATACGTATTCGCTTGCCCACCGTGTCTGGCTGGCGCTCCGCGCATGGTGTTCCCCGGGACCACATGTCTGACGCCACGAACCCAGCTGACCGCTCAGGACCTTCGCCCTGATGAGATCCGCTCCATAGAGCTCGGTTCAGTGGGTACCCTTGTAAACATTCGGGCTCTACATGTAGGTTGAGGGTCAAGTTATCTCAGGAGTGAAAAACTGACTCGCGCTCACATACCAAGCGAAAGGCGGCGCGTAGTTGCGTACACACAGCAGATGCTGAGCCCATCCCGCGTTAATTTTGAAGGCAACCACCACGAGCTACAAAACGCTCGACTACTCTAGTGTCACCACGGCTGTCGACGACAGTTTTGTTTCGAGGAGCCAGGAAGAAAAGATCAATGAGTGAGTGAATTGCGGTCGAAGAGCATCGTGTCAGCAGGCTCGATTATTCATTCAACAATACCCATACATCGATCGGAACGGTTTTTATTGTGAAGAAAACAATGTACTGTAGTTCATGTCTGTGGGCGTGCATCATATTCCATTATGTCAGATATCAATTTTGTGACGGCCTTTCATTGGCTACCCTCATGATCATAGCATACGCACACTGCGGAATAACTGCCCGCCGGAAAGAGAAAAGGGGTAGAGAGAGCCAGCATGCAGACGGGTAGAGAGGGGCATGGCGAGGGGCATGGCGAGCGGCATGGAGTACCCGGATGTTTACATGCAGGATGCGCACCAAGCAACGGGACCATGCCGACCTTGGAGCAGCGCCTTGAAGGAGCGCCTGTTGTGACACGAGTCCGAAGTTTGGCTGCTGTATGGTCTTCGATGCCCGTGCAAACGAGCACTGCTAAAATCGACGCAAACTAGCTTTCACCTTGGGCAGCCGAAGCCCGTGGAGCCAGAGAGAGCCGGTGTGACGGCTCCATAGTGATACTGCTGTCTGCGTGTCCCCCTCGTCTCCCATCCAAGTCGCATCGACAGACCCACAGCCAACCGCGCTCAACGCCGTCGTCATGGTCACCAATGCCGAGAACATTGGAGGCGACTCAAGTTCTGGTTGGGACCACGCTCTTTCTCCCAGGGCTACCCGCCACCCGGTGGGCAAACGTGCTGTTCTTGTTGGAGGGAATGAATGCCCTGTGAATTGGCCAATTTCGAACCGCAGCTGGTTGTGTATCTCAGGGAGGAGCACGGCTACATAATTGCTAAAGTGAAGGGATGCCTTTCAGCAGTCCAAGGAGCCACACACCTCTTTGTTTTGGTATTGCAATTGACCGCCCCAATTCGTCGCGTCCGATGCCTTCATGGCCAGCCGTACCGTAGGTTGCATAAGATACCACACCCCCCTGGCCCGATGTTTGAAGCTCGATTACTTGACAAGAAAAGTTATGTACAACAACATGTTGTAGTGACTGCCGAAAATGGCGGCGTTGGAACGGCATCGTCGAGAGCTTTCCTGGCGAATGCGTTGATTCCAGCATCCTCTTCGTCGTGAAGTAGTGAAGCTTTGAAAATCATTCCAGGGAGTGTGGTATCTGATGAAACGTACGGTAGGCAGTGAAGGGGTGCTGCATGTCACCCCAGCAATAGAGCACCCCGTTCCGGCCACCCACGATTTTACCATCTCATAATTCGCGAACGGCAAGTTGACAGGTGGATCAATCCAATCATTCTGATAAAAATTCAAAGCCAACCCGTGCTGATGTCTATCAACCCCTGCCTCCAGATTTCACTCAATCGACGCCGTCTACTGCTGTGTGTCTCTCATGGGTTGTCTCCCATGGGATCCCTGCCCCCCACAGCCCTACAAGATGCATGATGGTGCTAAACCTGGAGGGCAATGGTGTCTTTTGCTCAGGTCCCCATAACTCCTTCCTGCGTGCACCTCCTCAAAGTCGTGCCACCCTTGGGCGGTTAGCCGGGTCATTCCTCCGTATAAGTACAACAATTGCATAATTCAAATTGATCCCAGGGCGTGTAGCATACCTCACATTTCTGTTCCATGTGACTAAAATCTAACGGAGTGAAGGCCGTGTTGATACTTAATTGCGTCAAGGGACTTCTCGGCCTAATGAACAACAGCGATTCTTCTTGTGAACTGTTGAACTATCTTCGGTCCATTCACCCGGCTATCCCAGACATCACAACACCACCACCACCGCCCTCCGCACCGCCCCTCTGTTCGCCTTTCACTCAGACTACACCGCTGAGGGGTGCTGTTGGAGACAAGCATCAAGCTCCACTGTCCCCCTTCGCGCTGTTTTCGGAGGAGAAGGCCCAACTCAGGTGCACAGCGTGCGTACCGTAGGACTTACCCATACACATATAGGTGGTGCATCTTGGACATCGTCACCCCCTTCCTGTCGACGCCAAAACACCGCACAACCAACAGGTGCTGTACATTCAGGTAGTAGCTCAGCGATACCAATGGAAGATGAAGGTGCTATTGCTACCATGTACTACTGACGGCGGCTGGTTTTGCTTTCTTTTCACGTCCCCTGGGGTGAGAAATGAAATAAAAGTTATTGTCATCTGCTAGTGGTGTGTCGTGTGAGTTTCGAGCGCCGGCCGCCGTCCCGTAACTCTTTGTAATTTCACTCTGAGAGCGAGGGGTGGCGTTTGCGGCGTTGGTGAAATTTCTCTGATAACGAGTACCTTGACCACATAGTCTATATTGTGAACTCTGCTCACAACCAACTACCGATATGAAACGCTGGGGGAATCAAAGGATAGCTATCTGCGTGCCGGCAAAGATGCGTGTTAGGCCTTCACGATTCAGGCCTTCTGTTCCCTGGCATCTTCAACGCACCATTTCCAAACGATCGGCCATCGCAGTTCCAATTTCAGCAAGCCGTTTACTCTTTTCGACTCTTACTACTGCTGGATTTTAAGTTCTTCCATTCGGCTGGACTGCTCTCATTCTCCAACATGACGCCGTGGGATGATGGCACAACAAACCAACACTCAATTTTGATATCTACACAGGGCGGCGTCACCGGTTTTGTCGTTCGAAGAGGTGGCCAGAATCTTGGCCGAGGAGTGGGACAACATGCCCGAGGAGGCCAAGACGCCGTACCGACAGAGGGCTGACGAGGAACACCTTCGGCACGAGACCATGAGCGCTGCACTAGTCCTTACGCAGGTCACATCGGTTGATAAATGCTGCTGCTGCAATGACGAGTTCACTCTTAGTGACTGTTCGAGCACATAGCGTTGTTGTGGTGCGTGGGTGGTTTGATCTCATCTGGCCCGGTGGGAAGTTTGCAGTAGACAGGAAGTCGTGTGGAGCCACGTGCCGACGTACGCCTCCATGCTACCTACAATGGTTTGCGTCACCGAAGATGACATTCATTCACTAGCGGAGTGAAAAATTGTCTTGTGCATTATTCATGGCGACTGTGCGTCGATGTGATCGTATTGTCGCGATGAGGTATTACTACTGTACCTCCGTATGCTCCGTGTACCTCTACAATCAAGTGATCCCAATCTTGGAAGCACACCGTGATGCTTCCCCCTAGTCTAGTAGTCTTAGGGAAGGCACAAAAATACAGTACATCACTCCCCTCCATCATCGTCCGCATCATATGAGGATATTCTTCCCGAAGCAATGGACAAGAACGACGACTCGGATTCGCACTCACTCCTTTCCAAGGTGTCCTCAGTGGAAGGAGCCACCATGAATCACCCATTATCCGTATTTCTCCCATAAACCCGGACATCCCGTCGATCGCTTTTCCACCGCCCAGATCGGGACACCGTCTTTCCCTTCTGGCCCTACAACCCCGGTGCTCCCGCCAGGGAAGAAGGCCAGGCGGTGCCTGGATATCGGCACATCCAACTGGCAGGTAAAGAGTCGCGGAACGGGGGAATGTGGTGGGGCAAGGGTGTTCGTTGTTGCTGGCTGCCCTTGCCCGATGTTGGGGCGTCAACTTGTTTCCCTCGGTCGTTCTGTTGGTTGTGACCCAGCTATTCCGTGGTCAGGACTGCGTACTCAAACGATTTTTGACCAAAACCAGTACGTTCGAGTCTAACTTTGCCCGGCTGAAGGTGTTATCGCGGAACATGTTCTAATGCTGAAACGAACTTTTCCTGGGTATGTCGAGTCTTTGTGGACCCCGGTGATGGAAGCCGGTCGTTTTGAGCGTCATCTGATACCCGCCCCTTGCGATCGACACTAAATAATCCCATATCCTTGGCGGCGCACTTTCACTCCTTCACCGGTACGGCAACGAAATCTTCCCTGCCCCCCGGGCTTCCTCGAATCACCGATCTCGTACTGACACATGAAATGGGTGCCACCCCGGCCGGCCAGTCACCGAGGCTCCCTTCCCAGGACGTTTGGGACTCCCCTCTCGGCCACGGAGGGTGCGGCTTCGTCCCCAACCTGACGGGGCTGCCGGCGGCAGACGACGCAGCCGGCCTTCTCTCCGAAGGCGGCACCGCGAACAACCGTAACGGGAACGCCACCGCCGCGCCGTCGTCATCCACTGCGACCCCCTCGAGGTTGTCCCCCTGGTCTCCGCCTCCGTTCTCCTTCTCTTCTCCCCCCACGTCGCTATCGCAGAGCAGTTCTGGCATGGTACGCCGACGTGATGACGCCGGAGCGGTCGCCGACAAGGCGGCGGCGGAGGACCGGCGCACTCGTGCACGCATTTCCGCGAGCGCCCCGCACTCTGCTGCTGTTGCTACCGGCCGTGGTGGTGCTGTCCTTGCGACCCCCGAAAACCTTGGCGATGGCGACAGGAATGCCGGTTGGCCGATGGGCCTGGTCGGACTCACCGTCCACCCAGCGGTGGGTGCGGCGGCAGCTATTGACAAGGATGGAGGTTGCGGGTCGCTCGAGGTACGCATACGTCCTGTATCGCCACAAGAATATCGAGTAGTCTTCCACGATGCTTTTGTGAAAATAGAACCTCGGACCCCCGTTGACGTAGCCCAACCACAGGATCGTTCACCCTTCTCTTGCCTACATTACGTAAGGAATCGGCCTTGATTTCGTTTAATCCTCGCCCCGTTGGGATCAGTGATGAACCAACCCTGACAACAAAGGCAATCGCATCCTAGGGTAGGCCCTCTTCAAGCTGTCATCCACCGAACGTGCAAACCCGGTTCCGCACGCGGTTCGACTACTAACGGTCTCTTGCCAAACCTACATTAGTGAGCAGTTCAAGCCCGTAGAAGATAAGGAAACCATCAAGTTATGACTTCGCGCCCCTTCAGGAACCCGAAACCACCCCTGCTCTTCTTGCTTCTTTCATCGTAATCGTAAAATTCCCTACCTGGTTGTCGTATCGTTGGCGGCG